CCCACTTTTACAGCATCGAGTGAAAGGGGCGAATCGCTTTTTTTATTTCCCCACCCAAGGAGAGGTTTGAGTGACCCCCCTCCCCCCCTGTCCCCCCTCTCCCTGCAGCACGTGAAGAACAAGGCCACCATCGACGAGCTCTTCAAGGACCTGGACGTCAACAAGGACGCCCAGATCAGCTTCGGCGAGACGATGCTGCTGATCGTCCGCGTCACCATCGCCACCCACGAGCACCTGCACGAGGTGGAGGACCACCAGCACCAGCACCAGCACCACCAGCACCACCACCACCACTGAAGCTGGGCTTGGGGGCCCCCCAAACCCTTCCCCTGCTGCTTTTCCTTCCTCCCCCTCTTCCAGGGGAAAAATTTCCCGTGGCTGGGAGAGGCTCTGAGGTCAAACCCGACCTCGGGTCACCCCTCTCTGCCCATCTCCCACCCCCCCCCTCGCTGCCACCTGCTGCAAAATGCGATGGTTTTGCTGATGAATAAAGGAAAGACTCGCCCCTGAGGCTGCCAAAGCTCTGCTGGGTCTCTGGGGTTTTTTTTTCCCTCCACTTCCTGCATTTTCCTCTCTCCTTAAACCCCTCAGATCCGGGAGGTGGGAGGGAAAAGAAAAAAAAAAAAAACCCTTGGAGAGGGAGCTCAGGGGAATTGGATGCCTGGGATGTTCAGGGTGCTCCAGGGGTCACAGAAGACCCCAAAATTGGATGTTTTCAGTTAAAAAAACCCACTGAAAACACTGGATGAGTCTGCTGGGCCCACACGGTGCTGGTGGGAAGGAGCTGGAGGATGGATGGGTGGATGGATGGATGGATGGATGGATGGACACTCTTTTTTTTGGGGAGGAACACCCTTTTTAAGGGCAAGTTTGGCTCCATTTAGGGGGGTTGGACACAGTTTTTGGGGGCCAGCAGGAAGACCCAACCAAGGGGGGATTTTGTGGGGAGACGAGAAACCCCAGAACGACCCCCAAAACCTCCCTCAAAACATCCCAGAAAGGTCCATCCGGTTAATCAGCTGCTTTCCAGAGGGAAATTGGGATTGGGAACACACCCCTCCAAGAGCTGCTGAGCACTCTCAGAGCCTGATTTCCAAACATCTTCATGGAGGGGGGGGGGGGGAAACAGGAAAAAAAGCCCAGTTGTGATTTCCCAAGGCCCTGAAATCGCCCTGCTCCGGGAAAGGAACCTTCCAGAAGCTTCCCCAAAAGCAGCAGAGCTGAAGCAAGACACACCCCCCCACAATTAACACAAGACCACCCCAAATTGCCTCAACTCAGGTTGCTTCATCTTCCCTCCTGGGGCCGCTTTTGACATCTGAGGGGGTTTAAAAAAAAAAACACCTTCTCGAGGAGGTGAAATCGTGGCCCTGCCAAAGATCTCCAGGCAGATCATCCATCCCCACCCCCCCCAAAAAAAAAAATCCTGCAGAATTTTGGGGGTCTTGCAGCATTTTGGGGGATCGTTTCACCCCAAAAGAAAAAAAAGAGGGGACATCGAAGCAACACCACGAAGGTGGGGATGGGGGGCACAAGGAGGGGGAGGAACTTCCACGGGCTGGGAGGGTTTTTCCAGCCCAAAATATTCCGGGATTCGAGATTCCCCGGGGGAAAGGGCGTCCTGCTGCCACCTGGTGGGATGCGACGTCGGCTGATGGTTCTTCCTCCTCCTCCCAATAAATCGGATTGTTTGGATCCAAACAGCGGTGAATTTTTCGGGCGAGGGGTTTTTAAACCTCCCCCCCCTCAAAAAAAAAAAAAAAAAAAAA